GGTCGGAGACGATCAGATGCCCGAGCCGGAGAAGAAGCAACAGTTTTCTCTGGACGGGGAAACCAGCTCAAATGTGCCATCTTTATACAAAACAGAATCCTTCCAAAACACTCCTGATCTTTTAGCTCCAATGCTAACAACATCATCTACAGTGTTGGAAAAACCAGAGGTCAGAGGTCAAAGTGGCACGTGGAGTTGGGGTGCTGGAATTGAGAGAAATGAAAGCACCAGATTTCATGAGCAATCGGGAAAAACGACAAAGACAAGTAGGAGGAAGTGGGGGGAGGCTAAAAGGTGGGCTCAGAATGTGAAAGAGAAATGGAGAGAGAAACACAGAAGCACACTGACCAGACAAAGAGATGATGGAGAAAGACAAGTGCAGAATGAAGTACAAGTGAGTATTTGTGTTTGATTTAATACAGCCAAAGACAGTTTGAAGTTAAACTGTATTGTGTAGGCTACTGCACGATGAAATGATCCCATAGAACCGCCTTTCACTGTTGTGAAAATTATACAAATTGGTTAGCACCATCTAGCAATGCCTTGGCAAATGCATAACAATAGTTGTGCCCTGATTTGACAGGGTCCCTACAAAGTGCACACAACTCCCTATTCCCTGAGCATAAGATATCAGTTCAAGTTCGCTTAATTTGACTAAATGCGAATACACTGCAACATCATTGCACACAGACGACATTTAAGTCACGCATATGAGAGGAGTTAATGGTTTGATGTCATAATATACTTATGTAAATAAATATAAAGTAAATTACCTTACGTTCCTGTAATATACTTATTTATATAATACATCCATGAGTATCTTTGGAAAAATATAATCATTATAAATTTAATCAGTATAATTCATATATTTAAAAGCTGTAAAATGGGTGATAAATGTTGGTTGCAGTGTTTAATATAAAAATAAATGTGTGTTTTATTAGATGTCTTTTATTTAACTTTAATCATGATATTAGCATTTTAACAGTCACATCTCGCACACTTCATAGAGCCACTGGCAAATCCCACCTGGGACTAATTAAACTCCATAATAATGCCAGAGACTAAGTGCCTTTGTTTTAAACTTCAAACTTCTTTATGTACTGGACTGATTATCAATGACTGGTGGGTAAATTTCCTTCTTCCTGTGACATGATGTATCAATATACCCTTATTCCCTATGCCATTTGCAGTGCCGTTTAGCCTGAACATGCGTGCTCCCTTGAGACTGGAATCTCACTTCACATGGTGCATACTCTGTTAAGTCCACTTACATTTGAATAGAATGCACCTAATGTGCTAAAAACATCCTTAGCAACCTTAAAGCAGTGTGCCAGCATTCAATCACCCAAACTATTCAGCATCATGGCTGACTTTTTATGGGCAAACATAGGCAAAATATAGAATTATTAAAAGTTAAATGTCTTTTATGTTTATATTCAGAGTAATCGCTCTTCGTTATTGGTGCCCATCGATGTAAATGAAACTCCTACAGCACTCACTGAGTCTACCGATATCCATCATGAAGAGATCAGCAGAGCGCTGGATGAAGATGGCCCTGGTTCACTCAGCTACATGAGGTAAACACATCAGCCAGTGACATTAGAAATATGCATCAGACATAGTTATCATTCCACATGTGTGATCCATTAATCACTTTCTATTTCATGTGAAACTGTCTCATCAAGAAAGAATGTGTGACCCCTTAGGGCTAAACCAGTAAAATGATCTATTGTAACTATTAAAGCCACATCCTGGTTGAAGTTGTTTTCATTTGGCTTTCTGTTTACGTGATCTTTCATCCTTCTTGTCAGTGACAGTCAGTTCTCATGTGGCACTACTTCTAATTTAATGGAGGAGATCTTCAGCGGAACGGAGTGGGCTCAGTTTCTCTCAGTTAACAGCACCCAAATGCACCAATCGAAAGAGTTACCAAATACTAATAACCAATCATGTGAAGAAGAATTGCAAAGTAAATGGACTCATGACGACACAACCGATTCCCATTTAGATTCGACTCAGCTTTCGCTTCCAGAGAGCTTTGAACAAGACATGGCCTCCGATCAACAAACCGAGATGTCTCAAATGAGTGTTACTGATCTCCCCACAAATCCATTACAAACTGACCCGTTTACAAACCAGTCACAAAACACCAATCTGAACCCCAACGAGCAATCAAATGGACAGTCACATTTTTCCCAGCTTGGTCCAAATGAATCAAAGGCAACTGAGCATAGCGATCCACAGCCGACGTCTAGTGAAGTGTCCGACCCCAGCCATAACCTGCCACAAGATGGGACAGAGGATTTTATACCCCTCCTTGACCTTTCATATGCTAAGGTGAGAGTATACGCATTATAAGCAGAAGCAATGTGTTATTATTAGTATTTAAAATTCTTATTTCCTTTCCTCCTTTTCTCTTAGTCAATAAAAAGATCATCTGTAACATCCCATGGATCTCTGAGCCGAAAAAGAGAGCACTGGACAAAAAGCCGGGAATCGTTTGAACACACAACACAAGAGATGGAGGACGAGGAGAGCGGCGGCTCTTTCACAGCTGCACAGCTGTCTTCAAACTCTGTCCACAGCCCTTCACCCGCGTCTCCCCTCAACTCACTGAACTCAATCTCTCAAGACTCAGAGTCCTCTGAAACTTTGGAGACTGCGGTCAAAAAGGTAGGATATGTCAGAAACTAATATGCATTCAGATAAGCCAGTTTTGACTGATATCAGCTGGCTTTTATAAATATTAAGATCAGTAACTTTGATTCACACCACAGAAGAATGATTTAGAACTTATTGGTTAAAGTGTTGGGTTTGAACATAAAGGGAGTTTGTTACTACAGACTACAGAGACGCGTGTGATAGTTGTGGTATTAGTGCCATTGTTGATTAATTGATTGTTGGGTGGTGCTGAATTTTCAGCTTGTTTTTGAACAACGATGTGCGTCACTACAAAAATTCATTTTCGGAGAAACTAGAAACTAACACTGATATGAGGACAATCCTTATACATTTCAGTAAGCTTATACACTACCGTTCAAAGGTTTGGGGTCAGTAAGAATTTGTTTTGTTTGTTTTGAAAGAAATTAATACTTTTATTCTGCAAGGATGCATTAAATTGATCAAAAGTGACACAGTAAAGATATTTACAATATTACAAAAAATTTCTTTCAAATAAATGCTGTTCTGTTGAACTTTATATTATACATTTTCAATCCTGAAACTGTATTATGGTTTACACAAAATTATTAACTGCTGTTTTCAACATTGATGATAATAAGAAATGTTTCTTGAGCAGGAAATCAGCATATTAGAATGATTTCTGAAGGATCATGTGACACTGAAGACAATGATGCTGACAATTCAGCTTTACATCACAGGAATAAATTACATTTTGAAATGTAATAAAATAGAAGTTATTTTAAATTGTAATAATATTTCACTATATTTTTGATCAAATAAATGCAGCCATTTATTTGTTATTTTGGAGCTTGACACCCCTGAAAAGAGTGGCTGAGAGAATATATTCTTGAGAAATTCACCTTTGTTTTTCACAATAAAAGTCATACAGGTTGGCATGAGGGTGAGAAAATGATGACAGAATCTTGATTTATGGTTCAACTATGGCTTTTAGTTGTGTTAGCATGCTAAAGCTGGCCATTTCACAAGGCAGTTCTTTTCAGTTGATGAATCTATTATAAGCACATTCTATAATTTGTGAATAAATTGCAATCAATTGTCCACATTTACAATACATCCTGTTATTTCTCTTCTTCTCCCAGAGGAGGATGGAAGACACTCGACACGTTCGGTTCTCCGAGGAGGTTATCATCTTACCGCCCACCTACTTGCCAGAGTCTGATGATGATGATGATGATGATGAAGAAAATGATGATAATGATTGGCAGGAAGAACCTTCTCCCCGTCATTCTTTCCCTAAGTGGATTGTATCTTTAAAACCCAAAAGTGGAAAGTACAAATTTTAAATCTCTTCACATCTGACTCCACCTTTGAAATTTTGCAGCTTGCATAAACTGAGACTGTATTTCCTGAGGAACACAAATAATCGACAATTATCATTATTACACTCTGAAAAAAAATAATTTTAATGAGACTGTGATATGCCAGCATCGATTTGATATGCCATTACATTAAGTGAATTTATTTTTCAATAAAATAAAGTAAAATGTAGTAAGAATAACAATAGAATGCAATTTATTTTCCAAGGTAACAAAACGTACAATCTCAAGGTCATAGTTCAATAATTAAAGTCAACAGTATGAAAACCAAGATGGTTTAGACAAATAATTCACACTAAACACACAAAATATCCATGTATACTTTTAGCTTCTGAAAGGAATAGTGTATATACTCACATCATCATTTTGTTTCTTCGTTCATTTTACATGCTCAACAATGATCTATTACGTAATGAATTAATTCCTGTTCTTTGTAAATTGAATGTACTGCTGCTTAATTACTCTTTATATATAATCACCATCAGTCAAAGGTTTGACTTAAACTCTTACTTTTTATCTAAGGAAGCTTCAATTAAAATTTTGCATAGAAATATACAGTAAAATGTGATCATTTGTGAATTTCTTGAGAAAATGAGATATATATACCAGATGTAAAGCAGTGCCCAGCATATATGGAAACTCCTTTAATACTTTTTAAGCTCAAATATGAGATAAGAAATATGATATTTAATATTACTACGTAACTATCGTACTTACATTTGTGTTATTTCAAAGTTGTGTTCATTCTAAAATAATAATAATGATCAGGTGTGTACAGACTTTTGACTGGTAGTGTATATGTATAGATGTGTGTTTTCTCAGGGTTTGTGGTTGACTGAAGAAAGCCTTTATTTAAATTTGTTTGATCAAACCAAGCCCTAAAGGTTCACAGACTTAAAACAAACGATGATTTGTATACTGTTACTTGACTGTTACTGTATACTGTTGCATAAAATCACAAATCCTTATTATTTGAAAGTCTCATTGGTTTGGCGGGCTGTGTGACTCCTGTCGTCCGATAGAAAAGGTCCCTGAGTCATTTGAGCTCTTCTCCAATGCTTTGATTGCCATCTGGCTTCCCTCATATAGTCTGTTGTTTGCTGACTTGGACACAACACCTGATACCTGTTCATGAAGAGGACAGAAAGATAAGACATCGCTCTATTTTATCTCTACATACTTACATGACTAAACTCAACTCTGGCACCTCTTCAAATTTCTTTGCTTTGTACTCATCCGCCCCTTTATGAAAGTTGAGAAGGATGATGTCACAGAACACAGTAGCCTGCAAAAATATACACCAGTCAGATATTATGTGCCTAATATGTTTTTGCCAGCATTAATGTGTGCCACAATTGTCTTACCAATCCCACTGAAGTTAAAGCTGTCACCAAATTAATCAGAAACGGCACAGTGTTAAACTTCCCTGCCTGCAAATAAGCAAAGTTAGACACGCACAAGTCCATGTCACATAAACTGCTTTATAGCATTGAGGTCTATACAATCTACCCACATTGCCAGACACGATTATTTCGAAGCGGATTGCTTTAGCTTTATGAAGCGTTCGACACTCAGTTCCATCTTCAGACTGATAGTATTTAGCAAACCTGGAAGAGACAAAAAGATGATGCAGTTGCAGAAAAGACAGAATGATGCATGAGTATGTGTGTTTGTGTGCTACCTGAAGTTATATCCTTTAGAGGCAACGCTGTTCTTAAAAGCAGCATCCAAGCGTGTGAAGAAGTAATTGGGATTGCAGTATGTTACATTATAGTCCAGATTACACTTCCAGTTGATGTTAATACCAATCTCTCCTCCCTGACACAAAAACACACATCAAACAACACAACAACATTGTTTACTTCATATGTAGGCCTACATTCTCATCATATAAGTCTATATGTGACCCAGCTAAAGTCATTTTTTGGTGATTTACTGCTTTCTACATAAAATCATCCTTCATAAGGTAAATGGCCTTCTGTGAAAATGTAACATTGATATATTTTATATTGACTGAGTAGACCATGACAAAGATTGAAATCATAGTGAAATTAATGGTTGAAATCAAACTTTGATGCTTGTTATCTCATAATAAGATTTTGAGACTGGATTTCACAGAGAGGGTCACGTATCATTTTCACATTTGAAAACACACCTGGGCATTTAAATGGAGGTTTTATCAGATTTAACTCACTTTTGGTTTGTATTTCTTTGTTAGTATTACGGCACAATGCAAATGCTGTGGGCTGAACTTTATTTTTTAAAGGGGTCATATAATGCAATTTCAATTTTTCCTTTCTCTTTGGAGTGTTACAAGCTGTTCGTGAATAGATAAGATCCCTGAAGTTGCAAAGACTAAAGTCTCAAATCCAAAGAGATATTCTTTATAAAAGTTAAGACTCGTCCACCAAATACACAAAATAATGTTCTTTTTAGCAACATCATATGACCCCTTTAAATAAAACTATACGCTTCACATTTTCTGCTTTTAAATCCTCAATTTTGATTTATTTATTTATTTAATTTTTTTGCCGTTATTGGGACGAGTTGAATTTTTTTCTTAACATTTTGGTACGAATGCTGTGGACTGAACTGAACTTTGACTGAAGCGGGAATCAGGGGCACCTCTAGCAATTTTGGGCCCTATGAAAGAATATGAGGTTGGGCCCCTTACCGCACCAAACATACACTATATTGCCCAAAGTATTGGGAAAACTTAATAAAACTAAAAAAAACTAATCGCCAAACACCAATGACTTGTACATATGCGTACAATCATTTTAGACACTTCCAAAACTGTGGCAAAAAAGATAAATCTCCTAACCCGCCCCCACATATCTATATGTCACTGTGTGGGAAGATTTGCATAACGCCACCCAAATGTTCACGCAGAGGAAGAAGGTGTAACTTTTATTCTCGCTGTAGTATTGCTGTTGCCGCCGCCATGTCGTGAAGGCGCTGTGTGTTTCGTTGTGAAAGCGAAACTACTTTTTTTGGCCTTCCAAAAGAGGACACGACTAGAAATCTTAACTAGTGGTTAAGTTGTATTAACAACACTGTTCCAGAACAGTTCAACCCAAATATTCAGATGTGTAGGGATTTCATGAACAGGACACTGAAACGCCACTGAATCACCATCATGAGGCTTCGAATTAATTCAATCAGGAGTCAACAAAGCTTTCTTTGTATCAGGACTGAAAAGCCAGTTCACAACCTCCTTGATTTGCTTAATAAAAGCCTCCTTTGAGATCGTTTTGACAGACATGTTTATTGTGTATTATTTTCAACTTGTTTATTGCTAAGTTTAGTGTGGCAAAGGTTGGCAAAATAATTAAATAATAATTTGATATAGGCAAATTTTTATCAGTGAGGAGAAAACAAAAACAAAGGGAACTGATTGGAGAAATAAACTCATTGGCAGTTAATACACAAGAATCACCAGAAAATTCAGCAAAATTACAGTCACTGCAATCTCAACTAGATGAGTTGTATTCAGAAAAAGCAAATGGAGCTTATATTCGATCAAGAGCGCGGTGGATTGAAAACGGAGAAAAAAGTTCATCATATTATTTCGGCCTTGAAAAACAAAGACAAACAAAGAAAAAAAGAAGTAAGCTTAAGATTAATGAAATTATAACAGGCGATCAAAAAGTAATTCAAAATGAAATTTTGCTTTTCTATTCTAACCTTTATAAATCCAATTACAAAAAAGCTGATTGTGATTCTTTATTTGTGATTATTAGAGATAAAATATGTAAACTGAATGAGGAAGACAAATTCTTAATTGAGGATGAGTTGACTTTAGAGGAAATGGATGTAGCTTTAAAACAAATGAATAATAGTAAATCACCAGGTATAGATGGATTAACTACTGAATTTTTAAAACATTTTTGGAAAGATATTCGGAAATTATTATATAATGCATTTTTAGAATGCATTCAGGAAGGAAGCTTAACACCTACTATGAAAACAGGTTTAATAACCTTGCTACCTAAACCCAAAAAACAATTGCTATTACTAGATAATTGGAGACAATAACTCTATTATGTACAGATTATAAATGACTTGCCCTGGTGTATGCTAATCATAATTCCAACAGCAGATCTATAAACAAGTATTATGCAGGACACTCACGTGCAGCCGTCTGTCTCTTCTGTTGACTAATCGCTTGATCATATGCATTTTATTGTTCCCCATATGAGTGTGTAACTTGATACTGTTCAATAAAAAAAAAAAGAAGGTGAGCCCAGAATAAACGCAACACGCACGGTTTCATGTTAAGCGTTTTTCCATATAGAATAAACTGTCTACAATCATAGTCCGTTATTATGCCACATTAAGCATTTTGCTGTATGGGAGGACAAGTGAAAGTTTGCGCATTGTGTTCATGGCCATCTGTTTGCCTTGTAGTACATTAAATATTAACTATATATCGAATTTGATCTCTTAATAGCATCTTAATACATTACGCCATGTTAAGTGTTTATGTTTTTCTACAGGAGGAAAATGCTTAACAAGAGACTTTGTGCATTGCGTTCATATTTCTGTGTTTCTGTGTTCTGTGGCCACGGATTTGCGGGTCTTGTCTTTTTCTTCCAGGACCATTGTACTAAATACTTATACTTGTATAGTAGGCCTACTTTCATTAGTTTTAATAAGTATTGCTTTTTATTTCTCCTCTTTCCTACTACTTGTTTCGCTTCTGTTTCAGTTTTTATAACCATTTCTTACTATGTGTAAGTAAGCATAGGCTTACTTCCGCGTTGAAAAAAAAGGTGGATGGCAAAACTAAAATGTGTTTAAAAGTGCGACTGACCAAATCGTCCGGCTCGGTTTGCCCCACCCCCGGACAATTTTGCTGGAAATGCAGAAATAAGCCGTAATTTAGTTTTATTTGTAACTCTTTGGTAGATTCATTAATAATTTCTATTACATTACTACTACTACTGTTACTACTAATAAGACAGATCTCTGGGGGCCCCAAAAGTGCGTGGGCCCTTAGAATCGTCCTAACTTTCCCCCCCTTAGCGGTGCCCCTGGCGGGAATATTTCATGAAAAAGCTGTAAATGTAATGAGCACTCGAGGGGAAGGGGGTCTGTCTGTCTTGCATCTGCAGGCCGGTCTGTGTGTCTTCCTTTTATCGCTCGCTCTTGGCTCCGGCTCTCGTTTACGGCCACACCACCCTGAGTCTGGCTCGGAAGCTAAGCAGGGTCGGGCCTGGTTAGTGCTTGGATGGGAGACCGCCTGGGAATACCAGGTGCTGTAAGCTTTTGCTTTTCCTTCACTAGTCAGCTAACACACTTGTCCAAGGCTCAGCTTTCATGCTTGCTCCCTTACCCTTTTAAACTGATTGCTGCTGCTTCTTTTTTCTTTGTTTTTGCTTTCTCTGTGCCTTCTCTCTGCTTTCGGTGTGACGAAGGACAGCTCAGCCTCGTCATTCTTCCTTTCTCCTCCAGGGGGCCTTTTCTCTCTCTACAACAACCTCTTGAGCGCTGCATGTTCTTTTGGAAATGACGCTCCTCTCTTCAACTTGAGTGGTTCCCAAACTTGTTTGTCATTCGAACCCCTTAAGCCGAGTTCACACTGCACGATATTAGCCTGATTTTTCACTCACCGACAGGTTTTGTGAAATCGACGACAAATGCCCGACATCGGAGGCAAATCGGTGCTCGTTCACGCGAGTGACAATCACGCAGTGTGAATTATCAATCTTTGAATAATGCCGGGTTCAGACTACACGATTTTAGCCCGATGTTGCCACGATTTGCTTGAGGTAGGGTGTCATGGGGATTAGTAAACGACAATGGGCGTCGGGACGCAAGATTCCATCGTTTCAGCACGTGTGTAGTGTGTCATAGTGGACGACAACCGATTCCACATCTGCGATGCTTCACAACATCATGACAGAAAGACTAGCATGTTTAATTTTTTTCCATCGTCCACGACGAGTTCTGTCACATTGGTGACGTTGACCAATAGCAGCACAGAAGCTCTTTCATACACAGGTTTCAAACATGGCAAAACGAAAGAGAGATGATGGTGCTGCTAGGTGGAATTATGAGATGGAGGAAAGGTTCGTGGAGCTGTGTCAGCAGTACTTCTGCCTGCATGACGTGTCATCAAGGGACTACCACGACAGAACAAAGAAAGAATTTTCCCTACACTCCTCAGATAAAACACTTCTTCATGACTCAGAATTCTAGCTCGTTCCCTTCATTATTTTAAACGAATCGCTTCATTTTCTTTCATTTTGGTTTCTCTGTGGCTTCTCAGCCTCCTCATTCTTTCTTTCTCCTCCAGGAGGCGATCGAGAGGCTTTTTTCAGACCATGGCTCCATAGACTGCCGCTTGAAAACCGCCATTTTCTGCCTCTAGATAGGCTCCGCCCACAAAAACCGTCACCCCTGTTTCGGATCTGTACGATTATCGCACTCTCTAACGTCAATTTGGTTGAATAACAGTGCTTATCGCTGGGTGACAAGCTCTTGTAATATGCGGAGAACATTTGGAAAATGACATCTAATCAATATAATTTATAATCTTTTTAAACCTAACTATTTTGTACCGTATCCGTGAAATTCTCTAGCTGTAAAGGCTATCTCTCCCGGGTTTTCTGTTTATGTTTACAAACCGATAATTGGTCTATACAGTAAACCTCTATGCACTACTTGTTTTTTTTTTGGTTCCCTGTTTTTAAATTAATATTTAAATAATTTAACGACACATTTACATATTCACGGTCACATGACATGCAAGTTAGATCAAATATTTAATCTGTTTTATAAGTATTTTATTGTGATCAATTACATTATTATTATTATTATTTAGCTTATCATATGCGATTTGAACTGAGATATGACATTTAAACGTAAATTCAAACATTCAAACCCTTTTGCATTTAATATGTTAAATCCAGTATAGCATTTATTTTGGTGGGATATTGTTGAAATGCTGTTAACTTCTGTACACAAAAAGTGTTGGAAATTATGCAGATGTGAATGTAAAGAAAGTGAACCCAGCACACACTGCGTCCCCAAAACCCCCTGCAACTCTCTCATGAACCCCCAAGGGTTCATTTGGGAAGCCCTGCTCTAGGGGTCCCTCTATATATTGTGTTTTGAAGCTGATCTCAATTGCTCTGCAGTAACTGCACGTTCTGGTTACAGAACAGACTGTTGTTTAACACCAAGCCAATCAAGACCAGACATATTAACTTTTGCTCTAACAATTCAGCAGCAGTCAACTGAGAGATTTAATGGATTGTTTACAAAATATAATGAAATAGATCTCTTTGATAAACTGAAAACTGAGTGGTCAGATGAGAGGTAAAGCTGAGTGGACCTACTTTGTCAGTGGACCTACTTTGTCAGTAATGCTATCCAAACTTTGATTGATGTGTCTCAGGATATCTCCCACTTTAAAGACAGGACAGAACGGATGGTCCACCGGATCGTAACGACAGCTCTGAATGTAAGACTGGTTTAGGCTTGAAGGGAAATTGCCTCTATGAAGGTAAGAGAGTGAGAAACAGGACATATGAAGCAATGACATAATTAAAAAAATTATATTATTATTGTTTTTATTATTCTGTCCATTTGAACTTTCTTTGTTGCAAAGGGGGGTATATTAATTAAATTAAAATACAAATTTGAATTGAATGATTGACAATCACATTTATCACATTTCATCTCAAATTAATCACATTTATCACATTTCATTAGAAAATTAAGATCATTGCAAGAGATTAAATTTATGTGGCAGATGAACACCAGCACTATTTCCACATCAGTGAACATTTTTGCATAATTAATAGTGATAAATTCTTAGATTGCACTGACAGGCCTAATTTAAATGAGATTAATTTCAGAAAGAAATGGCATCTCACAACAGTATGTTTTTTTGATTGATGAAACTCACCTAGTGACGTTAAATTTAGGGAAGCGAATGCTGTTCTTGATGAAGATGGTGAAGTTCTCCACCTCTTTCATTGAGTTTCTAAGAGCGAGCAGATTAATTAATGCATCTCACACATGCTTAATCCAATCCATTTTGGATTACAAGATAACTCCTCTGTGTACAATATCTGAATTACAAATCTAAAAAGCTCCACTTCATGCATGTGTTTCTTACTCTGTAACATTGTCATCCTCTGCAGGGCACCAGCCTTGAATTTCACACCATCCTGTTGTGCCACTAGTATCGTTCAAGCATGTGCCCGTTATAATACCTGAGATAAAGGAGACATGCATCTGAAGCAATCTAGAAAGTATTAGCATGCTTCAATCACTACTATATAATTATGCATTGAAGTATAATGAGTATTAGTAATACTGATCTCAGAAAAGACAATGAACTCACCATTTCCTAAATTTGAGTCCAGTTTTGCCATGCAGTCATCATCAGTAGTGCATTTAAACTTATGATCAGTCTGACAGACAAGAGAAGAGTAGAGAGAGTGCATGTGTTAAAGTACATAAGAGAGCATATTTAAAGTATATAAAGTCAGCTGAGGTTTGTGTGTCACCTCAGGGCATCGTCCTTGAGTCTGATTGGCTGTGATGACCATGCTGGTGATGATAGAGAAGGAGGAACCACCCTGAAAAAATGTGCAGAAATGTTCACCCAGGATTATGAAATGCATAGTTTCATATTTCAGCATTAAAATGGACATTTGCTGACCTGCGAGGGAACTACATAGTCTGCCACGTCATTCACACGGTTGTTAAATTTGCCCAAGCCCTTCACTTTGGTCATGACCGCAGACTCGATTCCCGTGTCCCGGGACTGATGTCCTTTTTCATGCATAAACACCCAGCTGAAAATACAAACACGCACACAACAACAAATAAATGATTGAACATGTTCATTATGAAGGTCATTCATTAAAAAAAAAACTGTATTATTTGATCAGCTAAAAAGATCATCTAAATGGATAATATGAAGGCTAATATCAATTACTCCCATAGTTTTTCCCTTAATCAATAAAAAATACTTAAAATAACTCCGATAATACATCGGAATATTATCAATTTATTATTTACACACAGACACACACACACACACACACACACATATATGTATGCATTATGTATGTATATGCAAATCAGTAAGTAATTTATGTAAATCATTAAATAATATATGTAAATCATCAAACAATTTATCGACTATCATTTTATAGATAGATAGATAGAAGTCCCAAATTGTGTTTTTATATCATCATTTAAAACATTTACATTCATCATCAAAGTTCATCAAAGGAAATAATCAACGCTTACCCGATGAAATACAGAATAATTAACAGCTGGACGACACGGTTGATGATTCCAACAGACCAGCTCTTCACCACAACCGATTTGGCTGTTTCATAGACGAAGAAGTCAGCGAAGAAGTGCAGGACTCTGTGAGCCATAGTAGAAGTGTGTGTTGTGTAATATTAACAAGTGTAAGCTAGAGAAACTCTTGAGCTGAGATCCGGCGCAGGATAAACCAGTGTGTTCCTCACTACTGTTCGTCTGCTGAATGAGGGATCTTATTATGCTTGATGTATTAAAAAAAAAATAAAGAAAAAAAATGTTGACCACATTTTCCCTCCCCTTTTCGTGTTCATGCCTCTCCTCTCTGTGGCCCCCAGGGGCCTTGACTGTCCGTTTCCCTAATAGCCTGCTCATTTGCTAATCTCTTTCCAGCTTTATTTTAGGGAAATCTCTCTATTTTTTAACAAACCAAACCTTTTATACATATAAACACATTACTATGTCTAATTATAACAGTTGATTTGTGAAAGTGCCTTAGACTTGCAAAAGGGCATGTATATTGTCTTTTACTTTAAATAAAGCATGAATTCAATGTATTCTTTATTGTAACTCTGCATTTTGTTGCATTTTGTCTTTTGTTTGACATTTTCATCACACATACAAAGTCACAATATGCATTGTCATTGTTTTCATTAGAATCACAGTCATGTTTTTTCACATGTAAGTGTTTCACAAGTAAATGGTTCATTTTTACAAACATCAAACTGATCACCCTTGTGGCATTGCTATCTAGTCAACCATTCAAAACCTGTTATTGTTTAGGATTGTATATGTTTCCATTGAAATAGAAATATTTATAATAGCTATGTTTCCATCCAAAGTTACGAATTAAACGTATGCGCAAAATTGGAATATCGCATAAAACATTTGCAAATAAAGCACGGTTTCCATCCAGTGAGTTGAAGAGAACAAAATCGTCACTTCCTGATTAACTTTCGCTAAATATCACGAAGAAAAACTAGCATTTCAGATGCTGTGCAATGAGACTGGTCCATTGGTTGGTCCAGTTTTATGTTGTCCCATCGCAAAATCTCGTCTTTTTTGATGCCCATTAAGGAATTTATTTGGTAAAATGTTTCCATCGTAGTTTATGCGCATGTTTTCTTACCGGATAAGAAATGTATCCTACTTAGTTGATCGCATAAGTTTTTTATTCGCATTTCTAGAATTTATGTGTATCTTGGCATTTCCATCCAGCGTTCTTTATGCGATATCCCAAAATGCGCTTAAAAATTGGTAGATGGAAACATAGCTACTGTTTTCAGGGCTGGATTCACAGTATGTGCAAGGGGCACCATGCAACTGATACAAGCAATGTATTCTCCTTTAGAGACAATTTAAAGCAAAGATTATTGTTACATTCAATGCTTTCGTCACAGAAAACTCAACAGAATAATCTTCTTTGTATTTTGTAATTGTAACAAAACATAATAAGATTATGCAATACATAATAAGATAACACAAGATAGAAATCATCCTTAGAGGTGCTGAATGAAGCAAGTTACAGTATAGAGACACTTTTTTTATTTGAACAACTTGAAAAATGGTGTGTATTGACGTTTTTTCCATGGTTGAAACAAGACACCTTCTGATATTCATTCATGTTTATTTTGTGCTATAACTAGTAATGAGTAAGAGATGATCGGTTCACGTGCCGCTTGAACTGAGGCATCACAGCGATCTGTCACGACACATTATAGAGCCACAAAATGGTATTTATTGTTTTGTAACCTGCTCTGTATTGTCTGTCAGCACGTTGTCAGTTTCCTCTTTGCTCCACGATGTATTTTTTACTGCATGAGAACATGTGTCGCATGAGAGAGGCATGGCTTGTCAGGCGTTGCAACAGTAACTAATGGGGCAGGTCTTTATGAGTGGTCAATTACTGAACGAAATACATAAAACATGAACTGATAACTACATAAACACATAATAGTCCCATTTTGTTCATGTTTTTGGGTCCCATCGAAATATATGTGTAGTGTTTAACATTCCTATTCATTCACGTTGTACAAATACAAAATTGTCACCTAATAAAAAATATTTACATTTCTCTTGTGTACAATAATGCCATTTTCCATTTGCTATTGTATTTTATAGTCTGGAGATCAGTTTTCCTGGCAAACATGCTATTTCACTGTGACTAAATAGTTGATATTTTCAGACTGAGGTGTTACCGTAATTTGGCAGCCGTGGCTCACATCCGACTCTTTCTGTTATGTCTACTTCTCTGATCTGACTTGTGTACACAAATATATCTATTAGTTCATTTCTCTTGCAGAGTATCTTGCTCTATATTGACAAAGTATTTGTCAATTAAAATGTACCACTTAAAGTAAAAATAGGATCAAAGTGATTTTAAAAAACCCTATTTTCCATAACACTGTAACCCATATTTACTGATTCCCTGGTCTACTAGGAAATTTCTGGAGTCGTTTGCAAACTGTGTACGCTTAAAGTGAAGATCGCATTTCCTCATCACTAATGCGAGCCCATTATGTTTGTGGTCAATTACGACGTCACGTCATCTCCAAATGGAAAGCTTTCAGAGAAACGTCCTTGAGTGGACACAACTTCCCATAAATTACAGATGCCAGAGTCATGAACATCGTCGAGCACTGGCATTATCCACTCTCACACATGGCACAAAATTGATTTTCCTTCAAAGAGGACATACAACGGCACCCAGGAGACAAAACAGGAGTTTGACAGAGAGAGTGAGGATGGGATAAGATGGATTATTTTAATAATTTTTTTCTATTTTAAATATATTTACTCAAAGAACAGGCGATTTTTGTAAATATGATATTTTAATTGCATTTTAAACCATTTTTAAAAGGCAACACTGAGATTACAGTGAATTTAATGAAACTTGCACCATTCGATTTCAACTTACATCCAGACCGTCCAGTACAGGCTCCACCCGTCTCTTACCCCTCTATCATATTAAAAACCACAACTTCTTTTCAACTTCCCTTTGCTTTTGACAGACCGCATATCTTCACCATGAAAGTCTCATGCTGTATTAAAAGCCACAGGCTCTCATTGTAGGCCATTACTGGTACTTTATACCCCTGATGGGGTTTATTTACTTGCCTTTCAGTTCTAACAAAGCCATTTTGCTTGAATTTGGCAAGAAAGGGTGATTGGTTGAGTCATCTTAGATGGCAGGGCATGTGTCGGGACGATGCCTTAGGAACTTTCTAAGTGGGTTCATTAAGAACATAATGGGGTTTAATTTCCCCCAATTCCAGGATAAGCTACACTGAAAAATCCTCAAACTTTTAGGCAGTTGAAAGACTGCTCTGCGCTCAATGCAAGTTAACCTCTATCCACAGTTTCTGTGACATAGTATTGTTTCATAAATGTGTGTGACATGTTTTTGTCGCCAGAAATGAGTTGCGTTTTAGCACTTCTGGATCCATCATAATATTGAAATCAGTGGGTTTTTGATTAAAACACTATGATGAACAGGTAAACTCATCTACTCATGTGTGTTTATAACTGCACTCTCGCAAACTATTTTAACTCAAACGTTCGAGGAAAATGTTTTGTAGATAAAGACTGAAAGAATTGTCGTAAGTTTAGTAATAGTGACGTTGAAATCATGCGACTGTGGTGTAGTTTGTTTATACCTAACTGTATATTTAGATGTTTATATCTGGTGATTGTATTTAAGTGTTCAAGATTATCTAAGAAATCATAAACTTTTTTGGTCACAGAACATATGATCTACAATGAAACCATTTTTTGTAGGATTTAGAAGCTGAAATGCTAAGTTTACAATTTCATTAAATCATGTACATTAGTTCCTTTATTAAAACTGGCATATTATTTGAGCTGTAATTCTGTTTAAATAATTTTACAGTTATATTAGATTTACGTTGTCTTAGCATGGTGTCAGTGTGGAAAATTTCCTTGACAACATGTTGATGTTGTTTACAAACTGTGGCTGTACGATTGAAGCACTATTTTAAAGATTGACCATTCACTTCCATTGAATGTGCTTAACTGAAAATTAATTATGCCACAAATGCAATCAACCGAGCATAAATTTTATTGTCAGCACTTCCTCACCGCTTCTTCTCAACCAGTATGTTTTGTAGCGTCTGGACCAATCAAAAACACAATTTTTCATTTGATTTAACAAATCAGTTATTCATTAGATTAACAAGTCGTCACAGACCCCTCACCCAATAGACTGGGCGCCAGGATGTCTGCGAATGACCACAGGCCACTGGTTACCATGGCAACCCGACTCTCCATAGGCGTAATGGTTTTTATACTGTACAAACTGTATTTTCTATTGCCCTACACCAACCCTACCCCTAAACTTACCCCTTACAGGAAACTTTGTGCATTTTTATTTTCTCAAAAAAACTCATAAGCTTGTTTCCTCATGGGGACCTCAAAAATGTCCATTGACATTTGGTCCCCATAACGTGATAAATACCAGGTACACACACAGTCTGATTATCTATCCTTGTAGGGACTCTCCATAGGCGTAATGGTTTTTATACTGTG